TGTGTGTGTCAGATGAACCACTCCACCCCTCCTCCTTCTTTTCTCATCCCCTCTTCTCTCCCCCCTCCCCTCCTTTCTCCTGTCTCTCATGCCTGTCTGCCCCTCTCACGTGTGCTGCTCCTGTGTCCACTTCCATTCACACCCATTCACTCTCTCTCTCTCTCTCTCTCTCTCTCCTGCTCTTGTCTTTTCCTCTGAGCTGGGGGCGTGGCCATCGTCTTACACGCTCCTCTCCCTCCCTCTCGCTCTCTCTGACACACACACTCTCCACTGCAGCGCTCGGGCACACAGGCACTGCACAGATCGGATGGGCTCGTAACGGGGACATGCTGCTCTCACTGGGACCAGGAGGAGGGGGGCACGGCGGGCACACGGAGGAGCCGCCGAGAGGCTAGGGGCCCGGGGACACGCTCATTAGCTTCGGGGCTTTGGGATCGCCTGTCTGCCTCTCTACCCCACCTCCCTCGCTCACCACTACCATGCTTTACTTCCAGATGGTGATCATGGCCGGGACTATCATGCTGGCCTATTACTTCGAGTACACGGATACATTCAGCGTGCACGTGCAAGGATTCTTCTGCTACGACACCACGTACACCAAGCCGTACCTGGGCCCGGAGGACAGCAGCGCCGTGCCCCCCGTCCTGCTGTATGCACTGGTGGCTGGGCTGCCCACGTTACTGGTGAGTGCATGGCTCACACACACCTCATACTCACCTCACACACCTCACACACGGAGCACCTGGAATACCCGTCTGCTAAAGGAGGGTGGAGCCATATGTCTGTCTGCCATGATAATGATTATATTGACCTGTGTAAAAGGCCATATTAGAGTATTTTCTCATCTGTGTTCTAATGTAGTTTCCTCATCACAAACACACCTGGAGTTGTGTTTTGTTTCATTCACATGTTTAACACACAAACCCTGCACATTTAGGCCATCAGAAAATACTCTGTTTCATTTTGTGATGTAATTTGGCAATTCTGGAAGTGCTCCACTGTGTTTATAAACTCCAAACACCTTCCCTAGAATCATTTGGAGAGGGTCTGTCCTCCAATCTGAAGGTTGGCAGTTTGAAACCTGCTCTTGACCTGAACACTACTGTTAGACTGGTCATATCCACAGCTGCCAGTGTGATTCTCACAGATGAATACTATTATTGTGTCTTTGGGCAAGACACTTAATCCACATCACCCTCAGTGTGTGAGTGTGAATGAATTGATTAATTGTTTCTTGTTATGAAGTGGTGTGAGTGGAAAGGTGGAAAAACGCTGCATTAAAATGGGACCATATTTACCATGTACAAGTTGCTAACTTGACAAGTACCACGTCATGACATCACAAGGTGGAACAGAGCATTCTGAGCTTTGGAGATGTAGACAGACTAAAAGTAAAGGACTGCTCAAACATGAATGAAACAAAACACAACTCCAGGTGTGTTTTTGATCAAGTCACTACATTCTAACATGGCTTAAATCTCACAAGTCAATTTAAATATATCCTAAAAAACTGCATCTTTTTCAGAATATTTATGGAGTGTAACTTTTCTTTGCACAAGAGGGGGATGTTTTTGTAATTTTATGTAGTATTAGGCCTGCATTTGAGTTATATCCAATAATTAACTAAAATGTACTATTTATGTAATGTCAGTCAAAACATGTTTGATTTGATTCACTTAGAAAAGGTTTTACTTTGATTACCCTGCTTTAAGGTTATTGTGAAAGTCATAATGACAAAAAATACATATTTCCTTAGACAACAGAATATAATTTTGAACATTAAATGGTAGTACTTTCTTTTAGATTATGTGTCTTTATATGTGTGTAATCCTTCAGTGGTGCAGGTTGGTTCCATCATGGTTCCATGGTTCAAGATTCTAAAGCTGTTCAGGAAAGGTTCATTTGTGTTCTGTTACTTTCTATCCTGTAAAAGGAGTATTTTCTGTGTGGAATTGAAATAGATATCATCTTCCTCTGTTTGACGTGTTAGTATATGACACTCGCCTGAGGACACACACATGCATATTAGTCTATGTGACATTTTTACAAGTGAAGCATATGCTCATTACTATGCACGGTTCCAGCACCTACATAAATAATCAGACTGGAGATGTACTGTACACTCTAAAGCCATGGGTGGAGTACACAGCAAAATACACTGCAAAATAGTAGAAAAGGACCTGGGACCTGTTGTTGAATGTGGAGGGAGATGGTGGGACAGACTCTGCCCCAGTGTTATATAGTGCAGTAATACTATATAACACCATTTGAAGTTATTATCAGTTGTAATGCACAGGGGAGACTGGAAGAGCAAATGGTGCCAGCATGAATGCCAATTGAAATAAATACCACAGAATAAGTCTTGTTTTCTTTGTGAGAAAAACATGTGATGTAATATTTGATCCTAAGATCACTTTTTATAATTCATGTGGCATCAGAGGCTCAATCAGGCTGCACAGGACAAAACAGGGACAGGTGTCTCTACCTTGCAGACTCAGACCTGTACTTGGTCTTTAAAGGGGAGTAGGACCTGTTTTATGAATAAGAAATGACTGACATAAAATGATCAGAATGTGAACATTTACACACCCCTGCTCTCCATCTCAAATGATGACACTAAAGTATGTAGCCTGTTTAAGTCACAACTGAGCCTGTGTCACCAGAGCCTTAACCTGCAGACAGAGGACCATCCAAGTGCGACATACAGTATATGGACAGGCCATGCCCAGATAAAAGCTAGGGGTGGTTTTCAGATTTTAACTGCACCATCTGTATTAAATATTAATGGTCCATAAAATGAACATAAGAAGAATTTAAGAATATATATTCTGTCCTTAATACATCTTTAAACACAAGGAGAAACTGTGTGACAGAGCACTGTGAGTGTGTGAGGTGAGGCCCATGTGCAGTGTGACAGTCACACAGAAGGTCTGATGTTTCCTCTGGCCCTGGACACATTATATAACCTCCACAAGACTGAGGATCTGACTTATTTACAATATGACGTGTAGTCCTCTGTGCTGAATGTCCAATATAAAACACGAAACTAAAATATGAAAACAGAGCTGTGTAAACTAAAGTGTGTGTGATTATGAAACACATGTGTGAAGTGACTGGACTTCACAATAATACATTGAACACAGTTGGCAATCATGTGATGGCCAAACCCAAAACACATTTTAGGACTTTCACTAAATATGTCAAATTATAAGCTCCTGCATCCAGGCAATTTAGAGACATTTGAGGTCATGGATACATTCATACGAATGAAAAAGAAAAGACTGCGTACCAAAACATACTATGATAAATAATACATTAATCTTGCACTATTTAACTTTTCTGGCCATTTCCATGGAAACAAGCAGGAGGAGACCCTCCTGCAGACAGGTTTGTGGAGAAGCAAGTATTTCAGTGCAATACAAACATGAAGAAACATGCTTTTAATTTATTATATTTTTTGGCTAAAAAGTGACTTGCTGCGACTTTAGTCTAAATTTTCCTGTTGTGGTGCACAAATGGTTCAATCCCAAAGTCTGTGCCCTCTTCAGCTGCAGCCAATAACACATCAGGAGAGAGCAGGGCCACAGTGTACGAGGCCCAGAGGGCAGCTGTGCGAGCTGGGGACCATTTATAATTTACACAGTGTCATTAAACTATGTCTTAAATGAGAGCATATTTCCTAAATGAATTGTTATATTCTGTATATTCTGCACTTAAATATAAAACCCTCTGATAGTTTGATCTCAAGTCAAATCTTACATAATGTTGCGTGCTGCTGATGTTGAAACTGTGATCACATTGAGTTGTTGACATAAGGATGTGTGTGTAGTGCTGTGGAGCTGTGTGTGATACAGACTGGCTCCTCTGTGCTGTGTGCTGCCCCCTGAAGCTGCGCAGAGACGAGCATGTGTGAAAAAGGCCCTTGTCACTTTGTCCAAACACACTCTGAGCTGCTCCTCTGGGAGCTAGCTGAGGGCCTCTGAGGTGCACATCAGGACACAGCATTGTGTTTGGGGCCCAAGTGACGATAAATAAGGGCCCCGAGGGAGCCGTGCTGAGGGATGGGCCAGTTAGCCGTCAGCTCGGGTTAGCCGTCAGCTCGGGTTAGCCGTGTCAGGGGAAGTGGGACAGAGGGCCCCAGGCACGAGCACCAAGCTGCCAAGCTCTGCTGAGCTCTGGACTGAGTCAGGGCCCGGGCTGTGCCAGAGAGGGGCTGAACTCTACAAATATGAATTTAAACTGGCCTCACGGGAACACTGTAAAGATAACTATAATACATTATCATATGAATTTATTTCATTTTCAGTTTTTGACACACAAAATTCGTCAGGATTGCAATACCTATTTACCTACTTTGGCTCTATTTTGACATTTGTGGTGCTGTCAGATGTGGATGAAATGCTTTCTGCTTTATGCTACACTCTTTGTTGACTTCTATTAAAAAGACTTAGATTATGTAAACAAAACTAATTAATGTACCTGTTCTCCGGTGTTCCTAGGGCTCCTGCTGAGTCTGTAATGGGATTAAAGCAGTGAGTGAGAGGAGCACTGGAGCTCCGACACTAAACATGACATCACTGAGCTGTGTGCTGCTGTGGGCCTGAGGTGGGACTCTGAGCACACAAAACTTATGGTTTACAAATGTAATAAACGGAAAACATTTCATTTTAGTGGAATTAGGTTACGTAGAACAATAACATCTGACAGACAGCCAAACCTTTTTACATGTTCATTTGTAAATGTTTTGCACCTTATTAAAGGTGTCAACTACATGACCATTTTGTTGTCATGTTTGGCTGCTCTTGTGGCTGACTGGCTGGCACAATGAGCAGTTTTTATGGTACATTTTTTACTTAATATGTGAGGATTTTGACCAATGATTGAACTTAGAGCCTACGCACAGATGAACTGACTAAAGGGCTGTGGTGGAGCACTGAGAAGAGCTCATAAAATCAAGTGTACCTAGTGACTTTTATCTTTGTGCAAAACCACTACAGAAAAGTCCAGTCACTCGTCACTCCCCAAACTCCAGAAACTCACTTCCTCTATTCTGTCTTCATATACATTCTTTTTGGAGCTTTCTATGTTTTAACATTGTACCCTCATTAAAAAACATGCCTGAAGAGGTTTTGGATGTCATCTTTGTATGTTTGAGTAATCTAGGGATCTTTCCCTGGCCCTATTCAAATCCTCCCTATCGTTAGCAAAATATTCTGTGAAATTCTCCGCCCACAAGCCTACGTCACCCGTGCGCCCGTTTCACTCACATATGCAAGCAAATATTTCAGCATGCGAACGAGGCAAACTAAACAAACACACATGTTCAAGTGCTTCTGCAGCCCACAATAAGGAGAGCACTGCACACAGACATAACCTGACGAGTTAAACCATCTATAATGTATCAGAGCAGCCAATACAACATTGTAAAATGTATCAAACATAAAGGGTGCACTCACACTAGGACTCACACTTTGTCCAGTGTGAGTGCCACTGAACCGGTTGGGACTTTGGCCCAGTTGGAGGATATGGGCCAAAATATGGCACAGTTGCACATGTATGTGCACACGCACAACTTTAGTATACAAGCCCTGTCAGGTGCTCTGATGTTATTCATACAACAAAAACAGTGAATAAACTCTGCTCCAAAACACAGTGAATACACGCTTACCTTCAGTAAGGACTGTGGACAGTGACAAAAGTTCTCTCGTCTCCGGCTGTGCTCACACCTCCGCGCCCCATAACAGATTCAGCTAAAACCTGGAACGGTGTTCCTGAACATGTGAGACACGCCTCTGCTGTGATGCTCTTTAAATCCAGGCCCAAAACAGTTCAGCTGTGTATGATATTCTGCACTCTTTTCTCTCATTTAATGTCTGTCTCTCTTTTTAATTTTATGATGATTGTTTATGTTTTGATTTATTTGCATTGTGATTGTAATGTATGTCTTATTCTGTAAAGCACTTTGAATTACTTAGTGAACCAATTGTGCTATAAATAAACTTGCCTTATTATATCAACAAACTCACAGAGGAGCCAAATATCACAGCAGGACTCATACCTGCCTCACTATTTAATAGATATTTCTGCCACTGGATTTATTTTTCTGCTAAAAGCTGCGTGACTTAGTCTGTTGTTAAATTTTTGTATTTTTCTTTTTTTCTTTTTCAATTCAGTTCAGTTCAATTTCATGTTAGTCTGTAGGAAGAAACCTTGGGCAGATCCATGACTCAAGGGTCTGACTCACCTGCCAGCAGTCATGCAGGAAAAGTACAGTTATAATTCTTTTATTTTTTAGAGTTGGTGTTGGTGTTGTGCACTGTAATAAAAGGCCAAAACTTACTTGTGACCCCTTTTTTTCTGTGCTTCTAAAATTTTTTACTTGGGGGTATGTGATACAAAATACTTTATTATCCCAAAGGAAATTTGTTTTTCAGCCAGCATACAAAACATAAAACAATACATAATAATATAATACATAACATTAATTTAAATCTATTTATCAAATTAATTATATTGTGTAGCCGTGCAGTAGAGCCATTAGCGGAATACACGCTGACTGTGTTGTGACAGCGCTCTGAAGAGCAAAGGGAGGGGTAACTTAGTGTCTAAACGAATGTGAAATGTGTAAACTATGTTCATACATTGTTTTTGGTGAATATTTTTAAATTTGTAGTTTTTTTTAGTTTTTTTTATTTTAATAATAAAATGTAACATGGTGTTCTAAATCTGTTATGTGTTAGCAGTTAATACTCCATACAAGTGTAATACTCCCTCTTTAAACAACGAAAGAACTACAACCCTAGATCTTACTCTGTCTTTGTAGCACTGGTTCTCCACAGCCTCAGCAGCAGTCATCAGTGTTAACACAATGCTTCCATACTGCTAATTCCTCTTTGGCCAGGCTGCTCCGGTCTCCGCCCTCTGCCCCTCTACCCCTCTGTGCTTCTAAGCTGGTTAAGTGCAGTCTTATCTTTGGCTCCAGCTGACCCCGGGGAGCCTTCTACAGAATTTCTAACCTACAGCTAATCCCACTCATCACATTAACATGGACTAAGTGTCTCCGAGCTGACCAGCAGCTGACAGGCTAACTGACCACTGCAACTAAAGAACCAAACACAACATCAGCTGGATATTTGAACAATGCATTTTTATATAGGCAACACCAAGAATGACCAGGACTGAACCAGGACTAATCCAGGAATAAACCAGAGCAGACAAACTGTAGTTGTGGGCAGGCCTGACGTGCATCCATGTGCAGGCAGAGTTCATGTCTGTAGGGCCAGAATCACTCAGGGACCAGACACCAGTGGCCCGATGACCACAGACAAAAGACTCTGATTCCCTTCCACTTATACGTTACAGAGGTCTCACATATAATCCTGCGACTATGGAGGGGCTTCTGTGTGGAGGTTATGTATAACTGACTCCTTGTTTAGTCCTGGCTCTGATCTGGAGAAGTGTTATTATATAGCCCAAGCTGTGTTGAATTAACCAAACCATAGAGTGAACCTTTTTGTGCTTGTGTTGTTTGTGTGAGTGGAGCCTAAACAGTAAAGATGGTCAAACCCGGGTCAAAATGCCCTGGTCCAGGCGTCAGAGGTCAGGCCTTAGAGTGGTAATCCCCTGGGGTCATGGGGTCAGCAGGGTGTGCAGGAGGAGCTCAGGTGTGCTAAGCTTCATTAAAGTAATGCTATCATTATAATGTAGAGTTTATTTAAGAGGAAACACATTAGTCCATGGACCACACAGCAGAATCTGTCTGAACAGCTTTTTTACTTGAGGTTTGTTCATTTCAGAGCCTAAGCCTATAACACCAAAATATTAAACTTCAATATGGGACTTTTCAAAAGTCACTGATGCCCTTGGTACCAGAGCCATACCAAACTGTTGTCTGACCCATGTATTACACAGTCAAAGTCACTGTTGGCACTTTGACTCTTTGCACACAAAGATGCAGCAAAAGATGTTTTATTATTTCTTGAGATGCACTCACATCCATAGAGTTATATGGGACACTGTAACTTTAAAAGCTGTTTTTTCAAAATGCATTGCACATGAGCCTTGTGTAAACTACACCATTCAGCTAGAAGACATGTACAGGATTTTCTTTGTTTTGCAGTGTGAGTACAGCTGTTCAGTAGTGTTGTTCACAGTGACATGAGCTTTTCACTCTCACACAAACACTGTGTTTCTGTTCGGCACATGTCCTGTTCACCCACTGACAACTGTAATATACATTACAACCTGTTGAACTTTCATCAGGCCTTTCATAATGAGGCTTTATGCACCATTAGGCACTGCTCAGGTTTGTGCTGTTTGGAGGGAAATGTTCACACATCAGAGCAATAAAATGGACTATTTTCTGTGTTGCATCAATATCATATTCATATTCATTTGTTTTAATAACATTTAAAATTGTGATCAAACAACGCAAGAAAAAATATTGGCATATTTCTCAGCTCATTTTCACAAATTTCAGACCTGGTTCAGACCTGATTCAGACCTGGTTCAGACCTGGTGTAGTCTCTTCTGACCTGTATGTTTGTGTTTTCAGATCACGGTGACAGAGACAGCGCTGTTCCTGGTTCAGTACACGTCCAAAGAGTTTGACCGCTCAGAAAAGTCTGTGGCCATCGGGGACTGCTGCTACCTCAACCCGCTGGTCCGACGCACCGTGCGCTTCCTGGGTGAGAACACACACACACATGCACACACACACTCACATGCAAACATGCTCAGACATGCACACGCACATGCACACACACACACACACACATGTGTATATGTATACACACACACACGCACACTAGATGTGTGTAAAGATGTGCTGTGTAGCTTTACGGGTGGTGGGTTCTCCCCCTGCTCGATTACTTATTTTACAGTATGTCATTCAATCTTGTATTATGCAGTTATTACCATCTTCTTGCTGTTTGTGGGGTTGCCTCTCCACAGATCAGACCTGTAACTTGGTTGCATCACCTTATTGTGTCTAGGTAGGTAGACAAGTTTAATGCCATACTGTGGAACATCCCAGGCAAAACAATAACATATCCATGGAGAAAAACAGGTTAGGGACCCTAATTCACTCTAAACCAAGTGGTGGTGAAATACTATCTTCACCACAGCTGCCCTGAGGCAGACTGACAAGTGAGCCTGCCAGTCTGAAATATCTTCCTCTCCTACCACCACTGTCACTCATGACTCATTTGAGCACAACAAAGAATGGTGTCAGACACGACAAGTGTGGTGATTGGTGATGGTGTGGCCAGAGGAGCAAAGGAGTAGAGCCAGAACTAGAGGAGCACACAGAGCCACAGGAACAGAGCCAGAGGAGCAGAACCAGAGGAGAAGAACCAGAGGAGCAGAACCAGAGGAGAAGAACCAGAGGAGCAGAACCAGAGGAACAGAACCAGAGGAGCAGAACCAGAGGAGCAGAACCAGGGCATAGGAGGCAGGTCTCTTTTATAGGCAGTGGGATGCACTAGTTCCACTTCCAGGTCACCTCAAAACAGACAGAATAACACTACTGTTCATACAAACAAGGGATCACAGGGCCATGACATACCACATCAAATATACCAGACTATACGGCTGAAGTGTCTTGCCTAAGGACACAGTAGCAGTATGTACCAAGAGCCATTGCCCTATTGTGGTACTAACCAGGCCCAGCCCTGCTTAGCCTCAGAGACCAGTTGAGTTCAGACATCTACACGGTGGTATGGTGTGATGATGGTGCTAGTATTGGTATCATACTGCACACTACACAACACTGTGCCGTCCTTTACTTTAAGTGTAGACTAAAACATGCTGTTCCATGTTTAGATGCCAACACATGTCCCATCTGTTCTTACCTCCCCCCTCTAGCCCCTCACCCCCTGACCCTCTCACCCCCACACCCCTGCAGCTCGGGGCGCCTCATTGCTCCATGACTCATAAGGCTGTTGTGTGTATTATTACATTATTAGAATCACTCGGCAGTAGCTCTAGGCTCATCACATGGAACAAACAAACTCCAGATTCACACAGAGCAGACCAGAGCACAGGGGCAATGGAAGAGTGGAGGAGTGACTGTTGGAGGAGTGATGGTTTGAAGAGTGATAGAGGAGTGGTCAATGGAGGAGTGATGGTTAAAGGAGTGATGAGGAGTAGAGGAGTGGTGGAGGAATGACTCTTGAGGAGTGGTCAATGGAGGAGTGATGGTTGGAGAAGTGATGAAGGAGTAGAGGAGTGACTGTTGGAGGAGTGCTTGTTGGAGGAGTGTGGTTGGAGGAGGAGTGGAGGAGTGATGGAGAAGTGACTGTTGGAGGAGTAGAGGAGTAACTGTTGGAGAAGTGATGGTTGGAGGAGTAGAGAAGTGATGGAGGAGTGTAGGAGTGCTCACTGGACGAGTGCTCGTTGGAGGAGAGATCGTTGTAGGAGTGATGATTGGAGGAGTAGAGGAGTGACTGTTGAAGGAGTGGTTATTGGAAGAGTGATGGAGGAGTAACTGTTGGAGGAGTGATGTTTGGAGGAGTGATGGAGGAGTGTAGGAGTGCTCGTTGGAGGAGTGCTCGTTGGAGGAGTGACTGTTGGAGGAGTGCTCACTGGAGGAGTGCTCACTGGAGAAATGATCGTTGGAGGAGTGATCGTTGGAGGAGTAACTGTTGGAGGAGTAACTGTTGCAAGAGTGATGTTAGGAGGAGTGGAGGAGTGATGGAGGAGTGTAGGAGTGCTCGTTGGAGGAGTGATCGTGGTAATGGTGTCCTCAGGCAGCAGAAACATCTGCGCTGCTATAAAACATACGCTCCCTCCACACCGTCATTATAGTCATTACATCAGTGGGAGAGAGGGGCCATTCATTCTACCAGATAATACCCAGAGTGTACTTAGGAAGATGGGTTAAATTACTATGTGGAGTTTGTCACTTAATTTTAGTAACCAACTAAAGAGCTATAAAAATCTGACACTCATTATTGGTGATGAAGGAACTGTATGGAGCCTTGTTTCACACAAGGTTTTACAATCAGAACTGAACCTGTGTCTCCAGAGCTTTAACCTGCAGATAGAGGACTCAGCCAAGTGTTTCTCATTCTCAGTATATGGACAGAAGAGGCCTCATGTGAAAGCTCAGAACCTCCAGAATTCCCTCCCTGAGCTGTTTTGTTTTGTTTTTAATAAAAATACAAATAAATCAAATGTTTTATATGTTATGTAATGTAAGGAAATAAATGCAATTCACAGTCTCTGCTCTTGCTCCTTTTTCATACCAGGCTTTGACAGACACTTAAATCCAAGGCGTGGGCTGTCACTCAGAGCATGACTAAGGCTGACCAATATGAGGAGTGGGGGTCAAAGTGAGATTTTGATTCCATTTTATAACCATATTGTCCGACCCTAAATTTAAGTATTGGTATTGGAACAGACAAATCTGGATCAGTGCAGTCTTATTATGTATTTATTTACATCATATGCCATTATTTACATCATATGCCATTCCAATCTTAACCATCCACCCACCAAGTACTATTATACACACACAGTTATAGACACATAGACTGTACATGTAAATGGACATACACCGCATTAAAAATAGGACATTCACGTGTGACTCTTCTGGCTCCTACTGACCCTGGCTCTTGTTGACTTACATGGGAATATCGTGACTCCTCTCTCCCTCTGTAACTGCTGCTGTAAGCCTCCTCATTTTCATTTTAAAATGTTCGTATTAACCTGCTCCACATGATCCTGGTGTTTTTTTTTTTTTTTTTTTTTGCTGTTTTGCCCATTAAAAAAATCCTATTCATAATATAGAGCCTTTATACAGTCTGTGATTATTGCCTTAGATGAGACTACGGTTGTCAAAAGTATCGAAAATGTCAAAAATGAACCTTTCCTGAGTAGCTTTAGAATGATCTTGCACAGTATCAAAACAAGTATAAGAGTACATAGACTAGTATACACACATGGACACTATGAACCTACTGCACCACTGACGATCACATACATATAAGACCACATGGGAGTAGAAAAGAAAAAAATAGTAAAGTACTACCATTTATTTGAGTGAGTCTGTTCGTTAGTACAGTCCCTGACAAAAGTCTTGTCGCTTATCCATTTTGTAGAAACAAAAGCTTATAACCTGACTTTAAATTAATCGATTGGTTTGAGAAATGTCTCATATGAAAGCTAAAACCCTCCCAAATTATGCTCAATATACTAAAATAAATTTGCTTCACTGAAGAAAGATTGATCATTTAATGAACACAGAAAGGTCAGATTTTGGCAAGACAAAAGTCTTGTCGCCTTGTCATATGATGCACCCAATCCTAGATTACAGCCAGTTACTGATCAATCAATTAGTGGGTGTGTATAAAAAGAACCCCAGCACACCAGACCTGCACATCAACTGCAACTTGACCTCTGACAACATGCCTAATATGCACCCTGAGACCAAAGCCTTAATTATCAAGAGGCTGAAGACCAGATCCACTGCTGAGGTGGTGACACCTTCAGTGTGTCTCAGCGTCAAGTACAAAGAATAAGAAAAAGATCTGAAATGACTGGAGATGTTTTTGACAAGCCCAGGTCCAGCAGACCCCACAAGACAACTGCTCGGGAGGACCGTTTGTTGATTCGAAGATCCAAGGCCAGCCCCTTTTCCACTGCAGCAGAGCTCCACCAGACCTGGTCACCTCAAGTCCCTGTGTCAACCAGAACAGTTTGTAGAATTCTGTCTCGAAATGACCTCCATGGTCGAATCAGTGCACAGAAACCAGCACTAAACAAAAGGCAATTAAAAAAACGTGTGGCATTTGCCAAGGCCCACAGCCTGCTAAAAGGATGGACACTGGAAAAGTGGCAGAAGGTGGATTTCTCAGATGAATCTTCGGTTGAATTACATCACAGCCACCACAAATATTGCAGGAGACCTACTGGAGCCACATGGATCCAAGATTCACCCAGAAAACAGTTAAGTTTGGTGGCGGAAAAATCGTGGTCTGGGGTTCCATCCAGTATGGGGCTGTGCGAGACATTTGCAGGGTGGAAGGCAAATATCAATAGCCTAAAATATCAAGAAGTATTAGCTCCTCTTACATTCCCAACCATAAAAGGGGTCAAATTTTGCAGCAGGATGGTGCTCCATCGCATACTTCTATCTCTACATCAAAGTTTCTCAAGGCGAAGAAGATCAAGGTGCTCCAGGACTGGCCAGCCCAGTCACCAGACATGAACATCATTGAGCATGTCTGGGGTAGAATGAAAGAGGAAGCATGGAAGACAAAACCAAAGAATCTTGATGAACTCTGGGAGGCATGTAAGACGCTTTCTTTGCTATTCCTGATGACTTCATCAACAAATTGTATGAATCATTGTTGAACCGCATGGATGCGTCCTTCAAGCTCATGGAAGTCATACAAGATATTAAATATGGATCTCACAGCACCACTACTCAATTCACTGACGTTATGCAACATATTTTTGTATTTGAAGTAAATTATTTGTTCAATTTTCTGTAGGCGACAAAACTTTTGTCTTGCCAAAATCTGAAATTTCTGTGTTCATTAAATGATCAATCTTTCTTCAGTGAAGCAAATGTATTTTAGTTTATTGAGCATAATTTGGGAGGGTTTTAGCTTTCATATGAGACATTTCTAAAACCAATTGATTAATTTAAAGTCAGGTTATAAGCTTTTGTTTCAACAAAATGGATAAGCGACAAGACTTTTGTCAGGGACTGTACTGCAAACGAGTTTGAAACTTTAGTACTGAAATACCACCAAGTGAGAGTGAACTTTATACGCCTTTTCCACCACCATCCATTTGAGTTGATGTTATAAAAGGTATTGCTAATTCATGGATTCCCTCTGCATGTAGCTGACTGTGTGTGTATGTGTGTGTGTGCATTGTGTGTGTGTGTGTTGTGTGTGTATGTGCTGTGTGTGTGTATGTGTGTTGTGTGTGTATGTGTGCTGTGTGTGTATGTGTGCTGTGTGTGTGTATGTGCTGTGTGTGTATTTGCATTGTGTGTGTATGTGTGTTGTGTGTGTATGTGTGTTGTGTGTGTATGTGTGTTGCGTGTGTGTATATGTGCTGTATGTGTGTATGTGTGTTGTATGTGTATGCCCGTTGTGTGTGCATGTGTGCTGTGTGTGTATGTGCGTTGCGTGTGTGCTGTGTGTGTATGTGCTGTGTGTACATGCGTTGTGTGTGTATGTGCAGTGTGTGTATGTGCTGTGTGTATGTGTGTTGTGCATGTGTGCTGTGTGTGTATGTGCGTTGCGTGTGTGCTGTGTGTGTATGTGCTGTGTGTACATGCGTTGTGTGTGTATGTGCAGTGTGTGTATGTGCTGTGTGTATGTGTGTTGTGTGTGTGTGCTGTGTGTGTATGTGTTGTGTGTGTATGTGTGAGTCATGTGTATGTGCTGTGTGTGTATGTGTGTATGTGCGACGTGTGTGTATGTTCATTGTGTGTATGTGCATTGTGTGTGTATGTGTGAGTCATGTGTATGTGCTGTGTGTGTATGTGTGCTGTGTGTGTATGTGCGACGTGTGTGTATGTTCATTGTGTGTATGTGCATTGTGTGTGTATGTGTGCTGTGTGTGTATGTGCTGTGTGTGTATGTGTGTTGTGTGTGTGTGTGCTGTGTGTGTATGTGTTGTGTGTGTATGTGTTGTGTGTGTATGTGTGTTGTGTGTGTGTGTGTTGTGTGTATGTGTTGTGTGTGTATGTGTGTTGTGTGTGTGTGTGTGTGTGTGTATGTGTTGTGTGTGTATGTGTGTTGTGTGTGTGTGTGTTGTGTGTGTATGTGTGTTGTGTGTGTATGTGTTGTGTGTGTATGCGCTGTGTGTATGTGTTATGTGTTGTGTGTATGTGTTGTGTGTGTGCTGTGTGTGTATGTGTTGTGTGTATTTGTGCTGTTAAGTGTCTGTAAAGTGGTGTGTTGGGGAATGAAAGCAGAGTGTAGTGGAGGTGCTGATTGGACGTTGATTTACGACACATTGATTTCGGGTGTGAGCTGAGAGCGGCAGGAGCATTGATTTCCACAGGCGCAGGTTTGTGTGGATGTGTTACACTGGTGTGGACAGGGACACACATTGATTGTGTGTAGTGACTGTGTGTTCGGTCATTTAGTCTGCTCATTATTCTAACACAGCCTTCACTGGACATGTGTCACGAGCTCCGACTGTATATAGAAGTCTCCTGAGGGAGGGTGACATCACCTACAGCAGCACCCACATGATATGACCATATTTGGAAACTGGTGTGCAACAAAAGAGCCAATCAAAAGAAAGGCACTCGCCCCTTCCCGCCGGTCCCATTGGTTTGGTAGGTGGCCGGTGCTCAGCTGTTAGAGTGTTATCTGTGATCATCATGGTATTGAAACCGGTGCTTTGCAACAAGCCGTGGTAGCTGTTGATCAAACCTGTTGGTCACATGAGTTGACATCTTTGCGTCATATTTATGTGTGTTGTGTATGGCTGTAGTGGACTAAAGACACATTCTGCCAATTGATCATGCAGCTAAGCTCTCCAAACTATTACAGGTATGTGTATCTGACCCAAACTGCACTCACAAGACTACACCCACAGGGGGCGTTCATGCAAAAACTACCTTTATGCAGAAAAAAGTACTAGAAAACTAACTCTCCTTTCTATTTTCCATTTCATCCACATCAACTAGTGCTGATTAATGCACTGGACAACTAAAGGCCGACAGCCCCAGTGTTCTGTGACACCCAAAGAATTAGCATGACCATCACACTAGGCCTGTAATGATAATCAATAAATCAATTAATCGTACGATAACTTTTAACGAGCTCGATAACTTTTCCAGCCACAATAAATTCTATTTGCATGTTTGTTTGTTTTCCTCGCTCTCTCTCACTCTCTGTAGACTGAATGTTAGAAGCTTCTATCACTGTCTGACTCCTCTCATTTAACAAGTGTAATGACCTAATAAGATCCATGATAATGACGCTTGAACCAATGTGCGCTGTGTTTATCAACACAGCTTTCTGCGCGCTTTCTGTGCGGTGCGCTAGCAACATAAGCTAGCGCCGCTGTCAGAGTGACAAAACAGTTCATCGCCATGCACCAAAACAAGTCACGATGCTGTTGTCTTACTCTTCCTGTGTTAAATGTTCTTTAGAAAGTAAAGTTTATTGATCATTGAGAGGATGTGTTAGCATTTTTATTCCATGGTCATTATATTAGTTGAAATTGGTCTCAAAATGTCAATATTATCATTTATCACAATAAATTCTTGGTCAATTAATCGTCCAGCAAAATCTGATATCGTTACAGGCCTACATCACACTTTCCCTTCACGGAATTTGACTTACTACCCTCTAGGCGGCGCTATAGAACACACAGATATAAAACCAATCCATTCTAAAATGCATTTATTCCATCAGCATAATCCTGCTGAGCACAGTGTAGTCATGTTGTGCAGAGCCTGGTTTGTGTCTCTTCTGTGGATCATGTCTGTTCTCCAGCACAAACACATTTCCCTCTGGAGAAATAAAGTTCTTTTTCATTCTGAAATCTATCCACATTTAAATAGACTTGAAAATATTTTCACTGTTGTAATAAATTGGTTATTTGCATTTACACCCATTCAGTGATGAAACACGACTGTTGTCCGTTTTGTTTGCTGCTCAGAGGTAGACTAAATTGAGTTTGGTTTTACGCACAAATTATTAACTATTTTTCACAATTTTCTTGAAGCCAGATCACTATTTCAACTTCCTGATTCATGTAAAATAGTAAAATATGGATTTCTATGTAGAGGTCAGTCACCTGCTTCTTGTGAAAGTTCACACTTCATTGCAGTTGGTCAAATCCACGTGTCCCTCACAAATGATTGCGGAGGCTGACCGGAGGCATGGTGGGAGAAGTATCTTTGTTGAGCCTAAAACTCCATTCAAGACAAAACAGATGATTGTCAAAGAATGAGATCACAATGTGATTTTATCACCCAGCCCCACACTCCTCGGACAAATGTGTTTTAGGTACAGGAGGTCACATGTTGTAACACTGAGAAAACACAAACCCATCCAAACACGTTCCACCTCTGAAGATAAAGCAATAAGAATAACTATGAGGGTTACCCCATCCTTTAAGTTGCTCTGTTGACAGGCACTTCACAGTCTGAGAAGTTCTCTTATGAGTCTCATATTCCCTAAAGCGTGTGCACAGCTTGGACTGTACATTGTGTCAGTACTTGAGACTGTGCTCACTTTCTCTGACTGACTGTCTGTGTGTTCCAGGAGTGTACGTTTTCGGCCTCTTCACTGTGGACATCTTTGTGAACGCGGGGCAGGTGGTCACGGGGAACCTGGCCCCATACTTCCTGACTGTGTGCAAACCTAACTACACCGCACTGGGCTGTCAGCAGGCACTGCGCTACATCAGCCACCAGGAGGCGTGCACGGGCAACCAGGACGACATCCTGCGAGCGAGGAAGAGCTTCCCGTCCAAAGAGGCAGCTCTCAGTGTGTACGGAGCTCTCTACCTGGCTGTGAGTACATTTAGTACCTGTGATTAATGATCATCATCATAATGATCATCACTTACAACTGACTTCAAGTGGAACTAAACCTTACATCCACTTTTGTTGCTACTGTTGTATATTATATTTTAAAAGCACTCTGTCCCTTTTGGCAACTCTGGTGCAAACTAAGTACATTTGTGGCTTTCTGTTTAAAAACACCAGTTTGTACTGCCATCAGTGAATTTCAAGTAGTTGGTGATATCACACATAACTGCCCTAATTACTGCTAATTGTTTCCTTTTATAAATACCTGGCTAAAGTGGTAGAGTTTGAAGTGTGGATACCTGACCAATCACACTGTTCCTTATACACCCAGACCCCGCCTCCTCCTCCCTCACTCTCCCATTTAGTCCTCCAGACCCCACTCTTCCTCCCCCCTCACTCTCCCCTTTAGTCCTCCAGACCCCACCCTTCCTCCCCCCTCGCTCTCCCCTTTAGTCCTCCAGACTCGGCCCAGGTTAGCAGCTCTATTTAGAATGTAGTTGTGTGCAGAGTGTAGTTGTATATTCCCTCTCTACGTGCTCTGCGTGGCCATGAGTCCCTCTGTACTTCTCCTAATCTGATTTTATGTCATATACTTTATACAACCTGCTCGACTGTAACCTTTGAAAGAGACTAGCCACAGTAAACGCTATGATCTGAGTTGATTTAAAGGCCTGCCTCATGTCATCTTGCCATCTTGCTTGGAATTTTAATAGTTGCCAGTAGCTCACTTTACAGATGATGTTCAACCTTAAACAAACTGGCACATGACACTCATTCTACACTGACATGCTGTAAATCCATAAACTGTGAATGAAAAAACAAACAAAAACAAAAAAACAAGTCAACGTTACAAAATGTTCGACCTAGAAATGAGGAGGTTGTTTTATCTGAGGAGGACACACCAACTTTGCTTTAGTGTTTGTTTGTCTAAGGCCGTATCCCATAATGCCTTGCAATTTGATGTCACATTCTATTCTTAGCAACCATAAAAAGCACCATAGGCATCTTTTTTTACAGTTTTTCTCCACATATATTATGATCAGTTTTAATCAATCTAACTAATCAATCTAATGAAGACTCATTTATGTCTGCAGGTTCATATGAAAACACACACACCAAACTGTGTCATCTCTTTGCTGTGCAGTGTGTGTGTCTGCAGTGTGTGTGTCTGCTGTGTGTGTCTGCTGTGTGTGTGTCTGCAGTGTGTGTGTCTGCTGTGTGTGTCTGCTGTGTGTGTGTCTGCAGTGTGTGTGTCTGCTGTGTGTGTGGGCTGGTTGTGACAAAGGTCAGGGAGAATGGGTGCTGTTTATGTTGAATATTGTCTCATGAATTGGGATAAAAACTGTAATATAGCGGTGGATGAAAAAGAAGAAAGCCATAGCACATTGTTTTCTCATTAAAATGTATTGAATTCCTGCACACTGAATATATATTACTTGTAAAAGATTATTAAATCTACCCACTTCTTCCAGGAATTGACACTCACTGTGATTGGTTGTATCCAGCTGTCACCCACTCAGAGTTTGATGGAGTGACCAATCAGAGGAGTGGTTGGAGCAATTTAAACCAGGCTGGGCCATATGATAATATGATCAAATAATAATATATATTTTGTGTCAGTGTGTGTCAATCGGTCATAATTCTTTGATTAATTGCAGTTCTTCAGTTTGGTTTGATTTTGTTCTGTTAGAAACAAATAAGATGAGTGGGAGCTGTGTTCCACATGTTTTACTGACAGAGGACAGAGCTCTTTTATAAAAGCCCAAGCTCACTGACCCTTAGACACGACTCAAACTCAGTCTCTGTTAAAATGTGATCATGTGTCATTTCCCCTCACAAGTCCACACTATTTCCTACTTAATGCATTATTTAGAAGTCACACATGTTAATGATGTCCACATGTTCAGTGAGTGAAAATAGTTCACTCAAAATGTCCCACAGTGCACCTTGTAAAGTAGTGGGCATCAGTGGTCATTAGAGGTGTTAATATAGACCACACGCATCTGGTCTTTAACTGGACACAGTCAGAAGCTCTGGTTTAATGCACTGTTGATCCTGATGCTGAATAAAACATACATGATGGTGTAAAGAGTATTAGCTACTTATTTGAGCTTGAGCTGTTAAAGGTTCGCTCATGTGTCTGTCTGAGTGAGATCCCACTTGACAAAAACTTGTATAATTATGATTGGCCCATAAAACTTGTGAGTCTGATCATTATTTATAACAGACATCAAGTTTTATCAGAGTTTAGCCTTTAAGACATTTTCACCCAAAGCCAGAGTCACATGACCTGTACATATTTAGCTGTGTGGCCTCATCAGCATCCATCAGACACTCTGTAGTCCACTAAGGAGTGGACACTTGTGTAGTGAATGAGGGTTGAGGGACGAGGGTGGACATTCGGACACAGCCTTTATCTAATTACAGTTCAAGTGTTTTTTGTGAATGTGCTTTCTCACCACTGGAGTTTGTTGACCATTTCTTCCCTCAGCCTCTTTTCTCTGAGATGGTGTTTAGTGGGGGCTGGTTGTTCCTCTTTCAGCCTCGTTCATATTTTAGATGGTGTTTAGTGGGTGCTCGTTCATATTTTAGCTGAGGGTGCTGATGGGTACACGGTGAAGAAAACTCATGTCAAATATGAGAATAACAAATACATGAAAACAGCTAAAAGCAATATGTTATGTCTTCTGTCAAATCAGAGTATAGTATACCGTATAGAGCACAGTATATTGTATAGAGTATAGTATACTATATAGAGTACAGTATACTGCATTCTGGATGCCTCCATTCATATAGTCTTTGCTCTTTACTGAGACTTTTCTTCTATTCCTGTGTGAATCTTTTGTTGTTAGATTTTTGCTGTTATATTTGATATTCAATATTGAAAGTGACAGAAACTTCTTGGGTTCTTTTTAAAGACAATGCAGTAAAGTGTGTTTACCTTGTTGACATGTTTCGGCTGCTAGCTGCAAGCCATCTTCAGAACTGTCACCGGTGTTGGTGTTGGCTTGCTTGAAAGTGACAGAGTTTAGACTAAAGTCCTTTAGCACAGGACGACAGGTCTGTATTATTGAAAAAAAAAAAAACATCTGAACTGACTGATCATGTGTGTTTGTGAATGAACACAGTGTCAAGCCTGACAACTGTGTGAACTGATGAGAAATGTTCCAGATGATGTGACCTGTGCAGGTTTGACTCAAGTGATCAAATGAAACCAAGTTTCATATAACGTGCTAAAACAACTGAGTAAAAACTGTAAGAGGCTATTTACAATCTCTTTTGGTTTCTCACCACAAAAATTCAAGACACTAACATCAAAAATGTGGGAACAATGTTTTAAGGATAAGGTATGCTGTGAAATGACTGAAATGTGCTCTGCTAGTGAAGCATGTTTTAAACCTGAGCAACACTTTTACAGATGCATGATTAGTTTTGAATAAAACATGTATTCTGCTGAGATGAGATTTTGTTTATGAAAACCATAACCATCATTGGGATTCTGTGTGAGCTGTTTTGCAAATGTCAGTTTTCAATAGAGAAGTGTGTCAAAGTGAAAAAAACAAAAAACAAAAACAAAACTGTATCCCCACTTTTCTGTTTGTGCTGCTGCTGGTAACTCTGTGCTCCACTTAAATGTTTGTCACACATCATTACCCAGACAGTTTAAATCCATTTGTATAGAGATTCTCAATGTGGAAAATTGCTCCCATCAGCCTGAAGACCAGACCTGTCTCCACACAGACACGGAGAGAACATGCAGACTCCACACAGACACGGGGAGAACATGCAGACTCCACACAGACACGGAGAGAACATGCAGACTCCACACAGACACGGGGAGAACATGCAGACTCCACACAAATACAGGGAGAACATGCAGACTCCACACATAAAGAAGGGAGTGAAACTTGGAGCTGTCCTGCTGATACTGACTGATTTCACTGTGGAGAATACAGAGTTATTTCTACAGAGTTATTTAGTCTTTTGGAGTGAGAAGAGTTTTCATGAGGCTCAGTAGTAAAAACCACAATTTAGATTTTGAAAGTGCTGTGGCTGCTCTGTGTGTGTGCTGGATCTGTGTTAAGACTGTGTGAGAGAGGAGCTGTATGTTGGTCTAATGCTGTTTCCTGATCGGACACCGTCACTGTGACTAGAAAAGCTAGTTACACATTTGCCTCTCTCTTTCTCCTTATCCCTGTTTGTGTGTTTCAATCTTATCTCCTCTCTTTCCTTCTTCTGTCTTTCTCCCTCTTTTTTCTTTCTCCATATTTCTCTCATGCTTCTCCCCCCATCTCATCCCCTGACTTGTTCTCCTCTCAGTCATTCTCTTCACTCACAATTTCTCCTTCTCTCCCTCTCTCACACCACTACCTCCCTTTTCTCTCTCCCCTCGTACCCCTACACCCTCTCTCCCGGTCTGTCTTTTTGAATACCTTCTCTCTTAGTCTCTCCTCTTTCTCTCTGCCCTTCTCTCTTTCTCCAACATCTCCAACATTCACTTCTCTCGATCTCCTTCTATTTGTCCCTCTTTCTCTCTACTTCAAATTTACCCATCCCTCCATCTGAGTCACCTCTGTTACACCATCTCTCTCCTCCCTCTCTCCCCCCTCACCTTTCTCACTCTTCCTCTCCTCCTCACTCACTCTCTCCTCCTGTGTCCCTCTCTCTCCCTCTCCCCCTCACAGTTTTGTGGTCCAAGTGTTTCTTATGTTAATCCCTGTGGTCAGAGGAGCCACCTCAGCTCAGACTCTCTGTTTCTTCTTATCCAATCAGCACTTTATCACTTTATCATTTTACCTCTTTACTGCTGGAGACTTAGAGACTGAATGCACAGCTCAGAGCCCAGCGGGACTCAGAGATACTCACTTAGGTAGGTAAAAAAGACTTCGATTTCATTCAGATTTAACCTTTAACCACACACACACACACAGACAGACAGACAGACACACACACACACAGACATACACACACACAGACATACA